GGCAGTCAGGGAGCAGCAAACGGTATCTTCTGGTGACCAGCGGTCGATATTTGCTGGTGACCATCGGCTATTACCAGGACAAAAGAGGTCAAGTGGAAGCCGGCAGATCTATAATAGGAATTGACCCTGTGGCATGTCAAGAATATACCACCAGTTTTTTAAAAGACTCACCTTCCACGAGGGATCGGCTTCACACCCGAAAAACAATTTAAATTGGTGTTTTACCACCTTGCAGGACAAAATCGTGAATGCGCTTTTCGCTGACATGATGGCGTCGATCAAGCGAACGGAAAAGGGACGATCCCTTCCCAGAAAGTTCTCCTCGTCGAGAAAACGAAATCACATCATAGTGAAACCTATTTGAAAAAAACAATCAGAGCCAACTATGCTTTCTGCGCAACAACGCCGCTCATGCGTGAACAAAAGTTGAGCTTTAAACCAATCACAGGCCATCAAATCTCCCAACCTTCAGCCAATGAGAAAATTGGATTTACCCCACGTGGTTCGGTGACACTTGACATGTGACACACGACTTTTTAATGACATGACATTCTACTTAGTATTCACTTCGACCTGACTTAAGACTGATTCTTAAGTGCAAACGAACAAACCTAAAATGAACAAAGAAACAAATCTGACAAGACTTGTGACCTATGACATTGACATGAAACAATTTGATATTTGACTGTGGACAAATTGTAATTCATCATGTTGACAGCCAATGAGAATAAATAAACAAATTCGAATTTGAAAATAACTTTCCAAAGAAACGAAATCGGGGGAGAATAAAGAAAGTCCTAACACCTGTGAGACTCACTTGGTGAGTACAATGCTTGTTGAAGCTCAAATACTACCCAGATAGCACAAATTCCTTTTGAGGCCCTTCTGAGGCGTTCACAATCATGTCCTCATGACGTCGAGAGCGAGCCTGAGGACATTCTCAAGACGTCCTCCTGTTACCATTCTCTACATACTAATAACGTCTCAGAACATCCCTATAAAATCTTATGAGACAACCTCAGGACATCATGGTAACAACTTGAGGCGGTTTTTCATGATGTTTCAAGGAGGTTCAAGATTTATGGGAGAATATTATTCGTATACAGAATGAGTCACTATAGTGTGTTCTCCTCCGATATTATCCTAACCGTCAGATATATAAAATGGAAATTCAAGTACAACAGTAATAGGGTTTCATAAGAACAATCACCTAAAGTTGTTTTCATATCTATAGAGTGTTCGAATTCCAAGATATCGGTTGATGATTGGTTTTTTTCAATGGAACACCTTGTATATCATTGCATTTTTGAGTTTTCCCTGAAGAGTTGATTCCATCAATGCATCACACTTGTTGTCTAGTGGGGATTGTTATAGGGTGTTGACAATTGAGATTCTTCACATGTAGGATTTTTTGTCTCGAAACTATTCATTAATGGTCAAAACGGCTCACATGTTCCTGTCATAACTTTTGATTAGCTATCTACTGATATTTATTTGGAACAGATACAATGAGCTGATCAGTATTCTGAATGTTAACCCACCCTCTATTTGTTCCGATTGAATGTCAGTAGATAGTAAATCGAAAGTTTGAATAGTTTCCACAAAAAAAATCCTAAAATTGAAAAATCTTGTTTTTGAACACCCTATATCTCTGTAATCATTCCCGCTAGACCCCGAGTGTGATACATTGATGGAATCAGCTCTTCAGGGAGAACCTAAAAATGCAATAGTATACAGGGTGTCCCATTTGGAAAAAAACAATCATCAGTCAATATATCTTGGAATTCGAACACCCTACAGATATATATGAAAACAATTTAATGTGAAAGTTCTCATGAAACCCTATTACTATTAATTGTACTCGAATTTTCTCTATTCATCTGATGGTTTGGCTAAAATACAAGGATAACACACTATTGACTCACCTTGTATTATGCAAATGATAGTTTCTTCAAAATAATATGGATCTCATGATATTTGCAAAATTTCCCTCTATTTATAATAGGTTCAAATGAAAAACCAAATGAAAAACTTACATTCTATTATTTATAACTTATTCTGAAAAATTTCAATTTCCTCCCCAAAGAAATGTATTTCAGCTTCTTGTTGAGCACTACTAGAAGTTATTGCCTATTGATAGTTATATTTCTCCATGTTGTTTTTGATTTCTGAACTCTGGACATTCCTGATGCAGAATAATCAACTGGAAGTTGAAGCCTTCATGCAATATTTTATAGATTCTGAAGAAGCAAAACTATCTTGGAATGAAAATATCATCAGGTTTGTGTTTTGCATAACCTTCTGAAACAAACAATGTATTAATATTTCATGTCCAGTACTTACTATCAATGATATGATTTATGTAGTTATAGGTACCAACCATTATTGAATCTACTGAAAGTTCGAGTCTGCATATGTACAATCTTTCATAATTTCCAAAGAAGCCAAAATATCTTGGAATAAAATATCTCTGCTCTGATGATATCATCATTTTGTGTTATCAATAACCTCCTGAAACAAATAATGTACCTATTAATATTTCATGTTCCAGTCCCTACTATATAAATGATTTGATTTAGGTACCTACCTTTATTGAATATACTGAAAGTGCAAACATGCCTATGCAATCTCACATAGATTTCGAATAAGCCAAATTATCTTGGAATGAAACATCTCTGCTCTGATGACATCATCAATCTTGTGTTCTCAATAACTTCATCTGAAACAAATAATTAACCTATTAACATTTCATGTCCAGTACCTACTATATCAATGATTTGATTCAGGTACCTACCTCTATTGAATTCATACTGAAAGTTCAAGCTTCCATACAATATTTTATAGATTCCGAAGAAGCAAAGCTATCTTCGAATAAAACATGTTTGCTATGATGATGTCATCAAGTTTGTGTTCCTAATAACCCCCTGAAACAATAAATAATGTATATGAATGTATCGATATTTCATGTCCGGTACTATCAATGATTCTATTTAGAATTTACTCATCATTGTTTCTTGCTACCTGAGAGAAATGTCATAAACAGAGATATCATCCTTTTGTTATTGTTATCTTTTAATTCTGTGCAATAAGTTCTTCTCGCAATCATTTTGTGAAATAGGAATTTGATGAAGATATTCAATGAATACTCTAATAATTTTGATATAATCATTAATATATTATGATGTATCTTGAACAAATCATGACTATCATGAGACATAACCTCAATTCTAGTTCTTCTTTTTCTTCCTTTTGTCTCCGATGACACGTTGTTTCATGGAATGTCATCTGAAGACGTCCGTAGGCACGAAATTCTTTACATCCTCAGGCTGTCACTGAAAGAACTCATTTAGGACAATTACAGCGCTAAATTTACGCCTGATGATGTTCTTAGGTTGTAGAGAATAGAACGTCTTCTCCAGGCGTTTGGCGACACATTGAGGATGACCTTAGGCGAGTGTGTGCTATCTGGGTATCTTTATGATTTCACCTAATCTTTTATTATTCTTTTCAGATTGTTCCTGGAGTTCAAGGATTGCTTGGAGATGATCACATCAGTTTGAAAAAATACAGGGACTGACTTCAGGTAAGTTATGACTGTGACTTTGTGTAAAAATTCACATGTTCAATTCAATTTTAGGCATTAATATTCCCAAAAACATAAGCAGTGAGCCAACCAATCCAACAGGTACAAGAACATGATGAAATACCCACAATTGTTATGTAATGTAATTCACATCTTGTAAATTCCTGTAATAAAACGTGAACTATATGCCTAGCTGTTTACTATGGAATGATACTTGGCTCAAGTCTGAGCACAAAAGAGGAAACTGTACCATTCTGATAATTGAGTTTGAATAAAGGTGAATTTTCATGTTACACGAGTCTGCATTAACCATATAAGACGACTTCCAAGCGGGTATAACGCACACAGCTTGCAGAACAAGAAACTACGACTTTGACTATGTTTTCATTGTAACTCTGCAGTCCAGAATCTGAAATGCATACAGATGTAGCATATACAATTGCAGTGACCGTATAAGTCGACATTGAAGGGTGTATAACGAGTACAATAGGCAAATGAAGATACATCGACTTCATCGTTGTGCACACTATATCTCTCTTTCCTATTATCCTACATTGACATGATCGAAGCAGACGAGTCTGCATAAACCATATAAGACGACTCCCGAGCGGGAATATCGCACACAGCTTGCAGAACAAGAAACTTCGACTTCGACTATGTTAACACTGTAACCCTGCAGTCTACCATCTGACTGGCATACAAATGAAGCATATAAAATTGCAGTGACCGTATAAGTCGACATTGAAGGAAATATATTGAGTACAATAGTCAAATGAAGATACATCGACTTCATCGTTGTGCACACTATATCTCCCTATCCTATCATCTTACATTGACACTATTGAAGCAGACAATTTTGCATTGACCATATCAGACGACTTCCAAACGGGTATTACGCACACAGCTTGCAGAAAAAAAACTTCGACTTTGACTATGTTTTCACTGTAACTTTGCAGTCCAGCATTTCACATGCATACAGTTGAAGCAGATACGATGGCAATGATCGTATGAAACGACTTCGAAGGGTATATAGCGAGGACATCAGGCAAATGGGGAAACATCGACTCCATCGTCGTACACACTTCATTTCTCCATCCTATCATCTCACATGGACACTATTGAAGCAGACAAGTTCGCATCCAAGCAGGTATAACGCACACAGCTTGCAGAACAAGAAACTTCGAATTCGACTATGTTAACACTGTAACTCTGCAGTCTAACATCTGACCTGCATAGAGTTGAAGCAGATACGATGACAGTAATCGTATGAGACGACTTTGAAGGGTATTCGATGAGTACGATAGGCAAATGAAGAACCATCGACTTCATCGTTGTACACACTGAATCTCTCTATCCTATCATTTCACATGGACACTATTGAAGCAGAAAAGTTAGCAATGATCATATGAGACGACTTTCATGCAGGTATAACGCACTTCTTTGAATAGTTATGGTAGCTCCTGTTGAACTCTGTATAGTTGAAGTGGGCATCAGCATATTGGTTCTTGGAAAAGTCCAATTGCATTCGTTCTTGTGGATAAAAGTCACTATTCAGAGCCAATCTCATGGATTTCATGTTGGCATTATCGAACAAGGTCATATCTTCATGTATGTTATCAGATTTTTTCGTTTGGAAAAATACTATAACATATCTCGGGCTTCCTAACGCCGAACACGTCTTGACCGACCAAATTTCTATAGTGGATCCTTGCGTGAGTGCTGGAAGCTCGTGCAATTCCCATCTGCGGAACGGTATCAACATAGGTTCGTCTGCCTTGATACGCGGCAATAGCTGCAACTTTATGTTATCGTTGGGTGTGAGATGTGGCACTTTCAAACTGATGCTTTCTATCTTGATTTTGGCAACGCTCTGAGTCTGAGTTGCTCCTGGTATAGCATTATTCACTCTCTCACCAACTTTAAAACAGTTGGCATCATTGCGAGCTCTCACCAAACGAATCGACTGCTTGCCCCACGTTGCCACTTGATGATCATCAAAGATAGAAAACAAATGTTCCAGTTGAATGTTCATGCTGAACGTGTTATCGGTGTTGAGGATCGGAACGTTAGGATAGTTTCAGTCTGCTATGGCTAGATGGAGCGAGTCTTCAGGTGTGTAACACAAGTATCCTCCCACAGTACTCGTTATTCCAGGATATCTGACAGTGTCCAATTCTTTATTGCACAATTCATAGGTACAAGAATCAAAGAGATAGGCTCCAGCATTGTGGGTTAATGTACCAATACCACCTCCAGTCACCTCCAATTTACCGTTGATGGTAATGATGCCTTCTAACATGGCCAACCATGAATCTGCCTGATTGACTGTTATATCGATGACATCATTATTTCCAAATGATTCCACGTACGGGTAATAGGTACGCCAGTCCACTATAGTGATGCTTCCGTCGAATCTAGGTTTGCGGAAAACGTCGAAAACGGGGGCTGACAACATTGTAGCCGAATGATTTTAGGAATAGAATATGAGATAATGATTTTCTGCTGCTGCTGTTGTTGTTGCTCTTTGACGTCACGACTGCTTTCGTGTGTGGTGACAAGGGAACTGATGCTGATGATGGTGATGTTAGTAGATCGTTGTCTGATTTATAGGAGTAATCAAACACTAATATCATCTTGCAAGTTTCTTCAATTCCAATCTTATGATGATTTCTTCACCTCTGAAATTCACCACTCTGAAATCTTGGTCTAGAATTTGAAGCGTGATGTTGGGCAATTCTTGCTTACTTACGATAGGTAGGTCACTGAGGAGATACAAGTTCGTAATTATTGGCAATGACTTCAATATTGACCAATTCAGTAATAAATTGAGTACTAAAATGTTGTTTGATGTGCTAAGCTCGTTTGGGATGACCTCATTAATCACAGATTTCACGAGAGTTTTCACTAGCTTAGCTTATACTAGCTCTACATCCATAGATTATATAATCACCAACGCACCTCACATGTTTGAAGCTTCGAATTTTGATCCAGGACTGTCAGACCATTATTGTCAAATCGTTGACTGGAAATTACTTCGAGAATCCAAACATATGGATGATATTGTGAAAATACACACTTTTAGGGATTTCAATGACAATGCCATGAATGAATTTATGTACCATTCTTCTGAAATAAATTTTGATGTGAACAGTAGTGATGACGTAAATAATGTATTTGAACATTTCTTGGACGAATTCCTATGGTGTTTCAATATTGCATTCGAAAAAAAACGAAAAATATCGGTACTACCAAAGTGAATACAAATAAAAAAATAAAATTTTCAGATGAACTGAATGAAAAGAGAAATGAAGTACGAGAATTAGACTGGCTGCGCAAAAGAGTCTCAGATGAGAATTTGGAAAAACATTATGAAGTCATGAAAAAAGAAGTAAATAAACAAATAGAATACGAAAAGAAACAATATTATAATAACCTTATTGAAAAATCCAGCAATAAAAACAAAACAGCATGGTCAATTGTGAATCACGCAAAGGGCAAGCATAAAAATAACAAGATAGAAGAAATCAATTATAAAAACAATGTAATAAGTGATACTGCTGTAAAGGCTGAAGCCTTCGGTGAATACTTATCGACGGATATTCAGAAGAAATTGTTTGATCACTTCGGCAATAATTTGAGCCCATCATGCTCCAAGAGTGATTTCTCTATACGATCTATGTTTTTCGTACCTGTTAATAAAGAAGACGTTATGAAAGTAATCGACTCAATGAAAAATAAAAAATCTACCGGTCTTGATGAAATACCGGTTTCGGTAATAAAACGCTGTAAAGATGTCATTTCCCCTATTATAGCTCATATCATTAATCTATCAATCAGACAAGGCAAATTTTCCTCAAGTCTGAAAATAGCTTCAGTCATGTTACTGTACAAGAAAAATGACCCCAGTAATGTCAAAACTATCGTCCAATATCATTATTGAGTATTTTCTCAAAAATAATTGAAAAAGTGGTCTCTCAGAGGGTGGAAACATATCTATGTTCATTTAGCTTAATAACTAGTAATCAGCATGGTTTCAGAAGTGGCTTCTCAACTGAGACGAGCGTGGCTGAGTACACCCAACATATATATGATGAAATGGATCGCGGTAAATATGTGGTATCAATACTATTCGATCTATCGAAGGCATTTGACACCGTCGAAAAATCTTTTGTTTCTGAAAAATTGTATCAGCTTGGCATTCGTGGTTGTATTAATGACTGGTTTCTCTCATTCCTGGAAAATCAAAGAATTATTGTGAAAATTGATGATGTCTTCTCAAATGAGTTCAATATGGAGCTAGGAACTCCTCAAGACAGTGTTCTTGGCCCGTTGATATTTTTATTATTTATTAATGACCTTCCTAGTTATCTGACGGACGCTAAAATTCTCATGTATGCAGATGATACATGCACAATTATATCAGACAGTAATGAAACTGCACTCTCTGAAAAAATTGCCAACACACTGAATCAATTTCAAGATTGGTGCTACCGAAATAGATTGATGATGAATATAAAAAAAACGGCGTGCATTGAATATTACTCTACGCTCAACTCACCATCAAACTGCTCTATCTCTTTAAACAATACTGTCATTGCAAAATCGAAAACGGTTGAGTTTCTGGGAACCTTATTCGACAGTAACCTTTCATGGGGAGAGCAAACCAATGCTGTATGCAAAAAAATCAACCAATGCTTCTACCTATTGACAGTCCTAAAATCCATGTTAGATAGAGATACTCTGTTGAATGTGTATTACTCATATGCATACTCTGCAATTGCGTACAGTATCATTGTCTGGGGACAAGGACGTGAAGTTCAAAGAGTGTTCGTATTGCAAAAAAGGATAGTTCGCTTTATATTTGATTCACCTTTTCAAACTTCGTGTCGCAACATATTTAGAGACAAGAAAATTCTAACGGTGACTTCTATTTATCTATTGAAATTACTGAGCAATACTTATCGAATCCAACATAAATTAACAAAAAATAGTGATATACATAAGCATGACACGAGAAATAAAAATGACTTTTTGCTCAGAAGAGCAAATCACAATTACTATAAAAAATCACCTCTTATCGCTGGGGTTTCTTACTTCAATAGGCTTCCCAGTCACTTAAAAAACAGTCCTACATACGAAGTTTTCAAAGGTAGGTTGAAAACTTTTTAGTAAATAATTGTTTTTATGATCTGGGGGAGTTTGACGTTTTTCTCTCCAATAATTGAAATGTTTTATACTAATTTATTTCGTCCAATATCAGTGTATTTGTTTCTGTTCTCATTTCTAGGACAATTACAGTTGTTATATCAGTTCTATGTTCTATGTTCTATGCTTTTTATTGTATACATGTACCGACTCGTCCAATCTATTGTACTATAGGGAATAAGGATTTAATAAATTTGAATTTGAATTTGAATTTAGGTAGGTAGATGAGGTTCTTGGGAGTCTCGTCTATTGCGTAACCAGGATCGACTGCAACTGCAAACTCGTAGATCGTATGTGATGGTCTATCGTTGTAGAGAGCTCCAGCAGTAACGTTGCTATCAATGTGAATGGTTCTCACTTTCGTAATGCTGACTGGCAAATCAGAACTGTGGACTTGTTGAGCGTTCAACAATCCATCATTTGAAAATCCCAAGACTGAAGCTATGCTATCCTTTGGACGAAAATCAATGACAAACTGTTTGCTCGAGATCTCGCACTTTAAAGTATTATTGTTGGGTTTCAACGAAAATATCTCATCAACGTCCTTTGCACTCGGTACACCCAATTCTTTTCGAATAAATGTTTCAATGTCAACAATGTCATATAAACTTCGGGAATATCAATGTTTTTTTCCACTTTGGCCTTATCATGTAAATGAAATTTGGATCCTTTGTCGATATTCGGTATACTGTTGTATGAATGGAATCCCAACAAGGCCAAGCCGTAATCGGACTCTGGATCGAGTTGAAGTGGTGTAAGGAAATCTATGGAGAGCGTAGATGTACGACCCTTCAACGTCACTATCATAGACATGACTGATGTACAATGATTATGTTATGTTGCCTCATTGAAGAGGAATTCCAGATATAGGCGTCCACAATTGCTTTGTTCAAAATTTTGGTATCGTTATTGTAGAGGATTCTTGTGTTGGCACCTGAATATTGAGCCAAGTCTCTGGGTGGTTTCAAATTACCATAACTATCGAAATATAAGGCGTTTCCATTATTTTTTATGTAAGCTACCCAATGTGTGCCAGCATGATTGGAGGTATCTAAATTCAATACTGCACATTCACGACGTCATGGACAAGAGGGAGGTGGAGTGTCCCGCATAAAAACACCGCGGAAGTATGGAATTTTCAGTTGTTTGGCATACTTTATTACATCTTTATCGTATAGTGATCTATTGGGTAGCTTGTCTAGTAGTTTTTTGATTGTTTTTGTTTCTTCAAGTACAGTCCGAATCCTCTTGATGTTTTGCGTAAAAATAGGCAGGAACCTTGCTTTCCGATAGCCTCCATTGCTTTATCATGTCTTTGATCTTCTTCGAGCTTTTTCATCGCATTTTTCGCATCAATGACTGTCTTTGCGACTGCTCCGGCTTCTCCAGCTAGAGATCCTAGGGCTCCCAAGGCAGCAAAGATTGGTATCAATGGTAGTATACTCCTACTGTGTGGAAGAGGTATGATTCTTGGTACTCTGATTCTTATTTTACCGCCAGCCCTCTTGATTGCCATTCTGGCTGCACGAAGTGCTGTCAATGCAGATTCATTCAGACCACTGCCTGATGTTGTACCACCACCACCACCATCTGTCGTCGTTGAAGACTTTGATAGTAAATTTTTTATGAATTCGATTATGTTTGATAGGGATTGGCGTGATACGAGACCCATGCCGAGTTTTCGTTTGACCTTCATTCCGGTGGTGACAAGCCAAGCAGCAGCCTTCTCTTTGAATTAAGCGTTCTTCGACTTGACTTTTGCCCACACTTGATTTTCCAATATCCAATCAGCAGGAATTTTGCGATATCGTGTTCTCGACACGCGTCGTCCAACGGATTGATGCCGGTGTCTCCTCTAGTAAGTCTCTTATCGAGTTTGGTGCCTGGACCACAAAATCTGTAGCCTATAATGTGTAATTCGATGGGAAGTTTATCGATCAGAGAATTAAGCACCCCCTTTCCGTCGTAGAGCAACTTGAAGACTGATGTGTAGGCAGCTCGACTACTACTCTCATCAGATGATGGAGATCGTTCAACAAGAACGGACGTTGCCCATCGAGAATTTGGATGCAGTTCTGCCAATCAAGTCATCGGCAAATAGTAAACATGGAAAACTGCTTTCCCATTCGTTCAGAGCAATCTTCTGCAAACCAAGCGGATGTGGAAAGACCAATGCAATGCTTTTCCTGCTAATCAATCCAAATGGCGCAAAATTCAAGAACGTTTACGTGTATTCAAAGTCGTTGTACCAACCGAAATATCAATTGCTGCAACAAGTGTCAGATTCGGTGAAAGGCGTTGGGTATTTTCCATTCAAAGAGAATGAAGAAGTCATCAGTCCATCAGCAGCAAAAAATCATTCGATATTCATTTCTGATGATGTGTCATGTGACAAGCAACGAAAAATTCGAGAATATTTCTCAATGGGTAGACACAAGGACATTGACGTAGCATACCTATGCCAGACTTATTCTGAAATACCAAAGCAGCTGGTGCGCGACAACAGTAACCTGGTGGTGTTATTTCGACAGGACGAAATGAATCTGAAACATGTGTTTGCTGAACATGTCTCACCAGACATGTCATTCGACCAATTCAAATCTCTGTGCTCGGAGTGTTGGAATGATTCATTATCAGGTCAACATGGAACGATGGTGATTGCCAAAACTTTCGACATGAATGCCGGTCGATATAGGAATGGTTTCGATAAATTTATAAAGCTGTCATGATGTCTGCAAAAAAGATGACAGCAATCATTCATCATAATAAAGTCAACCGAGACGCATCATGACGTTGCTGATGCACTACATAAGAAAAAGAATAAACGATCTAGGAAAATCGATCAGGAAGAAATATTAAGCTTCGAAATTGGGCGAGTCTGAGGATGATGAAGTGCTACAAAAGATATTCCAACCATTGAAAACTTCTTTGAAACAAATTGTCACCACGTCCAAGGTTATAGAAGAAAAAATCGATTGTACGACTCTGTCAAAAATCAAGCGAAGCAATCAGACTATACCGTTAGAGATGAAGAAGGAGATGAAGAAAGTGAAGACTAAGAAGGAGGAGGAGGAGCAGGATCAGCAGCAGCAATCAGATTTGAATCAAACTGATTTCATACCTCTGGAAGATATAGCTGATAATGTTGGACATGCTGAAGATGATGATGATGATGATGATGATGATGATGATGAATATGATAATTTTAATGATGAAGTTTTTGCGGATAGTCAAAATATCTTATCGGCTGCGATACATGATTACATTGATCAGTATCCTGTGATGGCCCAAAAATATCTGACTGAATACTGAACAGAAAATGAGAATATCGATAGCGTTTATGGTCCCAAATATGATTCAAAAACATCGAAATGGTTCCTCAACGGAAAAGAAATTAATTTCCATCAAAGAACAGGAGATATACTTGTTGGTGGCTATCGATTTCGTGGCACCCCAGGACTGTATCAATTGTTATTCTATAAGGATCCATCCTTTGCTGAAGATGATAAGGGCCCATACAAGCACATACTCACACTCAACAAAGCTCATCAGAATTCTCTGGGACGCATGAAGGGTTCCTCTCGATCTAAATACAAAGACATTATTCGTCCAATGATCAGGTCCAATACCAGTGGTTTTGGTTTAAAGTTTGTACGTCAAAACAGCCCCTATCGAATATATGTATTGGGATGATCCGAATGAATTTGTGGACAGATTGAAGTTGCTCATTGCATCAGAGCAAGCTGGAAACACATCATACGATAACGAAATCGTCGCCATCTTGAATGAATTAGAAGAGGCAGGCTTGATAACGCATACGTAATACATACGTGACGAATGTGTGACGTTTCAAACTTGCTGTCATTAACAAAATGGGTCTCGACAAATTCGGACGTGGACTTTTCCACACGGTGTCGGCTCAGCAATGGTGGCTGTCAGATCTGGATTTTCACATATTCCAATTTTCAGATAGCTTTTAACAATTATACTGCAAACCACCAAGTTATTTTGGAAGAGAAAATGAGCAAAGTTGAATTCGATGTGCTCATATAAAAATTCAAGAAGGAAATCAATCAACTCGTGAAGGATACTTCCAGCACCAGTGATGATATTGAAAAACATTTGGAGTCTATTGAAATAAACGTGATGGAAAAATCAGATGAATCATCGCAGAAATTCAGCAAGTTGCAGCAAAGGGCTACGATGACAATGGATGGTGTTGAACAATTACAGAATACTATCCGATCATCTTTCCAAGTTATTCTTCAGGTTCATTCGAAAGAATCGGAGACGTTGAAAAAACAACTCAAGGACGTTTCAGTAGAGATTACATCTCTGAAAATACCCAAGATGTCATCGAGAGTATAGGACATTATCATATATCTCTCAGATCGTCAATGAATAACATTCACCTGCTAGGAAAAAATTCCCGTGACGTCGCACCATCATAATAGGCTTGAATGGTTTATGGCAAATGGATTTAGCCGAAATGCGACCTTATGCCTCCATTAATAAGGATCACAAGCTGATAATGGTCGTGATTGATTGTTTTTCTAAGTACCTATGGACGCGACCGTTGAAATCAAAAACTGGTGCAGACATTGCTCGAGCATTTGCCGATATTCTATCGCATGCCAACAACAAAGTTCCCAAAAATTTGCAAACTGATCAAGGCACCAAATTCTACAACGGAAAGTTTCAAAGTCTAATGAAAAAGTTCCCCATCAACCATCACCATACGTACACCATAATGGAGGCTGCCATTGCTGAATGTGTTATACGAAAATTGGAGGAAAGACTGTACAAATACTTTAGTTTAAATGGTTCATACCGTTGGATTGATGTATTGCTCGAAATAACAAAAAATTATAATAACACGAAACATACGACTATTGGATGCAAACCTAGTGACATCACCAAAATCAACGAACAAGAGATTATCAAATCCACATACAATCACATCCAAATTATAGGAGTTCGAAAATCCAATGTCGGTGACATTGTGAGAATAAGCAAAGCCGAACATGTAACCGAAAAGATATATACACCGAATTGGACTACTGAACTATTTAAGATCGTCAAAGTTCGTATTACGAAACTTACTACGTATATTTTGGAGGATTTGCATGGTACACCGATCAAAGGTGCCTTTTATCCTGAAGAAGTGCAAAAAAGTGAACAGTTAGATGTTAATCTAGTGGAGAAAATTTTGAGGAAAACGGGTGAAAAGGTGTTTGTCAAATGGCTGGGATTCGATGATACACACAACAGCTGGATCGATGCCACCAACAAATTATAATGCAAACATATGGAAAACGAGCACAAATCAAGAAATATCTGAGGGGTTTTTCATGAATTCACTTTCACAGCGAAAAACCAACACATACCTTATCACTCTGATGTACTGTACACAGCAACAGCAGTGGGGGAGAGGAGTGTGGTATAAAAAGTGACAACATTCTCTTCATTCAGCGTCAGTTCAGTTTTCGAAATGTCTCATGATAGTGGTTATGAAAGTAGTAGCCGCAGTGTTGAAATTCAGTTTGATGATGACGATGATGATGATAGTAAAAGTAGTGGTGGTGGTGATGATGATGATTACAAGCAAACTCTCGATGACATTGATCGTTCTTTGAACAAGTATGAGGCTGTATCCCAACAGAAATTCGACGTTGAAGAAACATTAGCATGGAAATCAATGGTCAAAATGAAAAGCCCTTGTTATTGATGGTCTTCCATACGCCCTGCTACGAAATTCGATGTGGCCTGATCCCCGCAAGAGAATTCAGCGCCTGTGTGATTCTGAAACAAAGATTTTCACCGCGACAAATATCATTCAACACCTACGAATAGGCATCCATAATAGATATATTGGGTGGAGTTGAACAAACCTTTTTTGGAGATAGCAGCAGCATCAGCAACAACAGCAGCAGCAGCTACCCAGATGATCATGATCCTGTGGTGATAAAGTGCGGACACTTTGTGAAATTATATCAATTTATGGTAATTGTTCTGAAGCAAGTTTTTATTTCCAAAGATGTCATCGATATGACGCTGAAAGAACAGGATGTTGACAAAATTTTACAAACACACATGCATGTGGTATCTGATCGACTTACCATGTTGAATGCTTTGGATTTCGATGATTATTATCCTAATGTTGCTGAAATTGCCAACACCTAATTGAATGAAAATAAAACTATTTCAAGTCACACTGAAATAATTGATGGACTTTGTCAAGCATCATCTCCAGACATCATCTAGGTGAATGCTCTACGTGAATATTTATTTCACTATCATCCTTAAAATTGACCATTTCATAATGTTATTAATGTTTGAATTGAATAAAGCACAGAGATCAAGAATATGTTTTTGAATTTCCGCATGAAAATAATCAACGCCACGAACAGCAATGAAGGAGAATATATATATATATATATATATATATATATATATAGATGAAACTTAGTAGTGGGGAAGCAGCAAGTAAAAGTGAAACTCATGCAAGTTCGTCCAAGCTTTCGGAAAGTTATATTTCCATCATCAGGGCCAGACTACAAAATGTTATAACAATTATAAGCAAAGCTAGTTGACTAAGTGGTGCAGTACTTACAACTCATTGAGGTTGGTTACATTGATGTTACTAACAAGTGATGTATAAATAAAAAAATGTTTGTATAACATATCTGGAACATGACAAATTCAAAAAATTAAAATATTAGGTCAATATCAAAAACGTTGTTGATTTAAAATCATGATGAAACTTTTCTTTTCACAACGTGTGTCAGAATAAAAATCTTTGGTTAGGAAAACTGAACCTTATTCTTCCAATTCACTGGTGACATGGAGCTTAAGTGTAATGACCTTGGTCTTATGGTACCTAGTGCTATTGTGTGTTAGTCACAAGAGTATTGGAAGGAGAAAGTTCTTGAGCTACTAGTAAAACGGGTAATATTCTTACAGGCAATATGTGCATCACATCAAGATTATTAAAAAAGTTGTTTATTGTTGGTTATGTTGAGTTACTATTATTTAATACCGTATTAGGGTTATCAATTGATAAAAGATATGAATAAATTTCACTAAGATGGTTAATGTCCGATCTTTTGTTGATACAATTTGGTTCTTGGGCAATGAAAGACATTTCCAAAAAAGTTCTTTTTTTGTGGTTACTTTCTGTAGCTAAAATTCTTGCTGATTGAAAATCCATTTTGTGATCAGAGGAATTAACATGGTCCGCCAAAGCACATCTTTCTGGATGAAGCCTACAGTCGCTCCTGTGGGATGTGATTCTGTTGGCTAATGATCTCTTTGATTGCCCGATGTATATTTTATCACAATCCTGACAGGGGATGCTGTACCCCACATTCGTCTGTGCAGTAAGAGGTACTTTGTCTTTGACTTTGGTGTAAATTGATCTAATTGTTAAAACTGTTTTATTGGCAATTTTTAGGTTGGGATTTGGAAGAAAAATTCTTGTGAGTTTTGGAGTTAAATCTGATATGTACGGAAGTGAAGAGAAAATTGTATGTATTGGAGGAGTATCAGTAACCACAGTCTCATGCAATTGAATGTTGATTTCAGGTGGAGCTGTCTGTGTCATGGGTGCACTGTGTAGAATTTTTTTGACTAATTGTGGTGGATATGAATTTTCTATGAATAAAGATTGTAAAATATTTAAATTCTTCCTGTGAAATGATGTATCAGAAATTCTGATTATCCTGTTCTTCATTTGTTTTAACAAATTCACCTTCATGTTCTGTTGGTGGAACGAGTTGTAGTTGAGAAATCTGCCTGAACTGCAAGATTTGCGATACCAATCGATTAGGACTATATTGTCCCTCGATCTCACTAGTCTGGTATCAAGGAATGGGACAGCTCTGTCCGTATCTTCAGTTTCAATGGTGAATTGAATTGCTGGATCATAGCTATTAAAGGTAAACAGAATTTCTTCTATACCATCTTCAGGAAGTGAAAGGATGATGTCGTCCACATATTTTTTTATGAAAAAAAGATCAAACGATAACACTGGAATTACTGTGTCTAACAGGTCATCCATTACATAGGCAGCGAGAATTGGTGAAATTGATGCACCCATCGGGGTGCCAAAAGTTTGTTTATAAAATTTGTTGTTGAATGAGAAATATGTATTATTGAATAAAAAAGTGATGAGATCTAAGAACGACTCTTTAGTGATTGTACAGTAGTTATTGATACGTGACCAATTTTTTTCAATTGCTCTCAAGCAAGCATCTAAATAGACATTGCTAAAAAGTGACACAACATCTAAGCTTGCTAGGACATGTCTCTGTGGGAGTTTTATTTTGTTGAATTTTTCTGATAACTCAAAAGAACCCCCCCCTGTTTACCTTTAATAGCTATGATCCAGCAATTCAATTCACCATTGAAACTGAAGATACGGACAGAGCTGTCCCATTCCTTGATACCAGACTAGTGAGATCGAGGGACAATATAGTCCTAATTGATTGGTATCGCAAATCTTGCAGTTCAGGCAGATTTCTCAACTACAACTCGTTCCACCAACAGAACATGAAGGTGAATTTGTTAAAACAAATGAAGAACAGGATAATCAGAATTTCTGATACATCATTTCACAGGAAGAATTTAAATATTTTACAATCTTTATTCATAGAAAATTCATATCCACCACAATTAGTCAAAAAAATTCTACACAGTGCACCCATGACACAGACAGCTCCACCTGAAATCAACATTCAATTGCATGAGACTGTGGTTACTGATACTCCTCCAATACATACAATTTTCTCTTCACTTCCGTACATATCAGATTTAACTCCAAAACTCACAAGAATTTTTCTTCCAAATCCCAACCTAAAAATTGCCAATAAAACAGTTTTAACAATTAGATCAATTTACACCAAAGTCAAAGACAAAGTACCTCTTACTGCACAGACGAATGTGGTGTACAGCATCCCCTGTCAGGATTGTGATAAAATATACATCGGGCAATCAAAGAGATCATTAGCCAACAGAATCACATCCCACAGGAGCGACTGTAGGCTTCATCCAGAAAGATGTGCTTTGGCGGACCATGTTAATTCCTCTGATCACAAAATGGATTTTCAATCAGCAAGAATTTTAGCTACAGAAAGTAACCACAAAAAAAGAACTTTTTTGGAAATGTCTTTCATTGCCCAAGAACCAAATTGTATCAACAAAAGATCGGACATTAACCATCTTAGTGAAATTTATTCATATCTTTTATCAATTGATAACCCTAATACGGTATTAAATAATAGTAACTCAACATAACCAACAATAAACAACTTTTTTAATAATCTTGATGTGATGCACATATTGCCTGTAAGAATATTACCCGTTTTACTAGTAGCTCAAGAACTTTCTCCTTCCAATACTCTTGTGACTAACACACAATAGCACTAGGTACCATAAGACCAAGGTCATTACACTTAAGCTCCATGTCACCAGTGAATTGGAAGAATAAGGTTCAGTTTTCCTAACCAAAGATTTTTATTCTGACACACGTTGTGAAAAGAAAAGTTTCATCATGATTTTAAATCAACAACGTTTTTGATATTGACCTAATATTTTAATTTTTTGAATTTGTCATGTTCCAGATATGTTATACAAACATTTTTTTATTTATACATCACTTGTTAGTAACATCAATGTAACCAACCTCAATGAGTTGTAAGTACTGCACCACTTAGTCAACTAGCTTTGCTTATAATTGTTATAACATTTTGTAGTCTGGCCCTGATGATGGAAATATAACTTTCCGAAAGCTTGGACGAACTTGCATGAGTTTCACTTTTACTTGCTGCTTCCCCACTACTAAGTTTCATCTCTAACTTGTCAGCAACGACTTCCCTTCTCTCTACTCTACAGATATGGGGTACTTCGATCACATCAAGACTACCTATGGTGACATGGCAGTGAAGAAATTGAAATTATGGTCAAAATCCAAAATGAAACTAGCCAAAGAATTGAACAGAAGATGCTTTCTCCTGCAGTGCAAACATTTTGACATCCTACCACAACACATCATTGCTTCAACCAGGCCATTGCACAACCTACTTCTTAGACAAGAGATTAACAGAAATGTGTCACAGTACAATCACAGGTTAGGGATCAAACTTATTAATATGGAAATTGCATCAAATCAACAATTGATAAATAATCTTCAAAATTCTTTGTCCTCTCTGAAAAGAGACATTATAACGATCACTAATGAATATACTTTCTTAGATTTTTCAAGTAGACAAATTGTGCAATATAACAAGATTTTTCACAGAGTCAAATCTAACAATATCAATAAATTGAAGAAGTTAAAACTTGATCAACAGAACAACAAACTCAAGACCAGTTCAAAATGGTTAAAAAATATCTCTAACACTGTCATTCCGGAAGACATTTCAAAATTCTTATCACTAGGCCCAAAATTTAGCATTGAACCAAATGTGATGAAAGACATTCCCATAAAACGTATCTTAGCAGATGTAGATTATATAACTTCATTTATTCCTGATGACTCCTTAAAGAGTATCTCCATAGCTAGAGCAACTAATGCAATAACTAATCACATTCATCATTCAGATAACAAAAAACAATCTTTTTATCACAACCTTCTCAATAAGTCCAGAAAATTTCTTAAAGACAACCCCAACATTATTCTTACAAACTCTGATAAAGGGAACGTAACAGGAGTGATGGAAAAACAGCAATACCTAGACCTGTCTAATGACATCTTACTGAACAGTACATCATATTCAGAATTAAAGAAAGATCCAACCTCTACAATACAAAGACAAGGTAACATCTTGATTAAAAAATTGAAAGATTCAGGACAGATTGATGAGGCTACTAAAAAAAAGCTCACTAGCTACAATGGAATATCTCCTAAATTCTATGCACTGCCAAAAATACATAAACCAACGTTGTCAGTCAGA